TATTAAAAATATATACTTATACTTATACCTATACTTATACTTATACTTATACTTATACTTATACTTATACTTATACTTATACTTATACTTATACTCATATAGTTATATAGTTATATAATTATATAATTATTAGGTCAACATAAACTGGCAGGAATTTGTTAACTTCGTCAACCTTTCTCAGCCCGTAGGTTTGATTTTAGGTATTTTTAGTTATGATGCAGAATCAATGCGGACCGTATACCCAAATTTGGTGGACAATATTGAAGAAAAGACTGGCCATCGATTAAGGTTTGGGTCGTTGCACAGACTGCTGAATGACGACAGCATTTCTTGCACGGAATCGCTTGTGCGCAAGCACCTGCAAGACATGTCTGGTCAATCAAATGGAAGCTTTCATGACGAAAATGAATGTAAAGCTTCACAAAAAAGCAGTACGAATACAAATATATTCCAGGATCTACCCATCCATCAATTTGTATATCTATACACTTATCTAGATATTCATTAGCATCCAAAAATTACGTTATGACTAATTTTGCTCACTATGTAATTGTCAATCTAATTTACGTATGCGTATACGGACAAGGCTTCGCTTCCTAGGTACATTGCGTAGGATTGTTTACCCGAACTGAGAGTTGAATTACAACGTGTCTTTTTGATTTCAACGTGCGCCATGTAAATTCTTTGTCTTGAAAATTAGAATACGTGCATGTATGTAGACGCTCGCATCTGTGTGGACCTCTAATTTGTCCTTGCTTCCCCGCTCTTCACTGTCACTCTGTTCTTCTCCTTTAGCTCCATGAGTTCAGCCTTTTTCGACCTCTGCCGCCTGTATCGAAAACTTCACCAATTCTTTCTGCGCCTTCCCGACGGTCTTCTGCTTCTCTAGCTCGTTTTCTGCAGCCACTTTGTTCACCTTCTCGGCGGTCATGTCCTCCTTTATATTATTTTAGCGCTGGATCTATTCTTCCTTATGTCCTTGTGTTGTCTCTTCGTCTCAATTAGTGCCTGCAGTCGCTCCTTTTCATCTTCCTTCGCTTTGGCCTCTGCCAGTCGCTTCGCCTCGGCTTCGTTCGTATTGGCCTCCGCCACTTCCTTCTTGTACTCGATGGAATCTTCATTTTTCTGTCGCTTTTCCTCGCTTAGCACCTGCAGTCGCTTCTATTCGGCATTCTTCGCGTTTTGCTCCACCAATTGTCGTTGTACTATTTCTTCGTCTCACTCTATACTGCCATTCGCTTTTCTTCGGCTGTGACCACCTGGGGGGTTTTTTTCCTAATCTAACTTGTGCTGCTTGTTGGCTTCGTCGAGTACAGCAAGGTGCTTCTCTTCAATCTTGATCTGTTCCAGATCCAAATCCAATCCGTGCGTTTTCTTCGCATCACTCAATACAACCAGGTTCTTCTTCTCCATCATTGTTTCGTTTTGAGCCACCTGAGCTACACATCCGGTATTGACGTACCAGACCTGAACCTTGCTTGTATCTGCCTTCAAGTAGGTCTCGACAATTTCGCACGTACAAGCTCGTGTACAAATAATATCTTTGCACGAGGCGGACTGTGCAGGTGGGGTCGGTGCACACACCAGGCATGAATCGGTTAGATGTCATACCCGCATAGTTTGTCCCTGCAGTCTGTGCTAGTGTGTGCATCCAGCAGCCCTGCACAATTTCAGAAATTCGAAATTCAGAAGACATTTTGTCAGATAGTATTGATTTTCACAAAGTCCACTGGCAGTTGCGCAAGAGGTTTGTCAACATCAGTGTTTACCCACAATGCTATCTATTCAATAGCCTGATCGGGACCCAAGAAGTGACCGAGATTTTCACTCATAGAAAAAAAGTAATCGTCCAAAGGACCCCCACTCCACAATATCCATTAGTTATTTGTACTGCTGATCATCCACCGTTTGGACCGTTTAAAACAACGCCCTTGATGCTTCCGGAGTACCGGCAAAATGTTTGCCTGTCTCTCAAA